GGGGCTCCAGGTGGGGGCTCCGGGTGGGGGGCTCCGGGTGGAGGCTCCAGGTGGGGGCAGTGTGGACCTCCCCCACGACCAGCTCTGCTCCTGGTCCTCCCACACCGTGCTCATGGAGGTGGCCCTGAGACCCCTGTGTGTGCCTCCAGTGTGACCAGTAACTAGCCAGTTCTGCGCCCTCTACTCCCACCTGCAGCGTGGCCCAGGAACCAGCTGCCGCGCACTGCCACATGGGCTACTGCCCGCAGTCAGACGCCATCTTCGAGCTGCTGACTGGCCGCGAACACCTAGAGCTGTTTGCACGCCTGCGAGGCGTCCCTGAGGCCCTGGTGGCAGGGGTGAGCTCCGCACCCCTCCTCAGTCCCCCCCCACCCCCCACCCGGCTCTCTCGCTCTTGACTCCGCCCCCCCGCCCCCCCCCTCAGGTCCGGGTGCTCAGGTGCTCATGCTTGGTCCTTCTGCATCCGGTCAGGATCAGAGGGCCCACCCCACCCCCGCCTGGTGCTCCCAGCTGCTGTGCTCACCTGGCCCAGGCCCCTTCCTGCCTTTGCCTGGTGTTCTCCCTCCTTGACGCCTCCGGCTGGGACCCTGGCCTAGGTCTTCCCGCCTTTCGCCTCAGGTCCCCTTCTTGTGTCTGGGTACACTCCCAGGTTTCACCCATCCCTGCTCTTTTCTCCTGGGCCCGACTCATGTCCACTGTGGCCCCATCCCACATCCACTGTACCCGCCCCCGGCCGCTGGCCCTGCTCCACCATCACTCTGCCCTGCCCTATGTCCACTTGGTCCCCATCCCAGCCTCCCTCTGACCCGGCCCCATGCTCACCCACTGTGGCCCCACCCCACCATCACTGGTACCACCCAGCTCGCCTGGTCCCCCAATGTGTCGCTCTTGCCGGGCTCTGCAGACGGCCAGCTGGGGCCTGGCGCGCCTGGGGCTCCCGCGATATGCCGACAGACTCGCGGGCACCTACAGTGGGGGCAACAAACGCAAGCTGGCCACAGCCGTGGCGCTGGTTGGGGATCCCGCTGTGGTCTTCCTGGTACATGGGGCGGGATCTGGCGGGGGGGCAGGGCTGGGACCCAGGCAGGACCCGGCTTAGGGGCTTTCCTCCGTCCCAGGATGAGCCCACCACGGGCATGGACCCCCGTGCGCGGCGCTTCCTCTGGAACAGCCTTCTGGCCGTGGTGCGCCAGGGCCGCTCCGTGGTGCTCACCTCGCACAGGTGACTGGCCCAGGCTCCGGGTGGAGGAGGTGCCTCAGAAGGCGGTCCAGAGCCCAGGGTCATAGCGGATGGGAAGGTCCTGACCCTGGCGGAGGGACAGGGGGAGGGAAGGAAGCTGGCGGGCCCAGGAGTAAGGACACACTGTGGTGGTACCCAGCCCCAGGAACCTGGCAGTTTGGGCCCAGCGAAAATGTCCAGAAAAGGGTGGTGGGGAGGGCCCTGGCCAGTATCGCGCCGCGCGGGTCGGAGCTCACGAACCGGCCGCCCACAGCATGGAGGAGTGCGAGGCGCTCTGCACGCGCCTGGCCATCATGGTGAACGGGCGGTTCCGCTGCCTGGGCAGCACGCAGCACCTCAAGCGCAGGTGAGCGAGAGGCCTCTGGGCAGGTGTGCGGACAAGAAGGTGGGATGAGGGTTCAGACCTGGAGCCCAGCGGCTAAAGCCGCAGAGTGGCCAGGATTATAGACAGCAGGAGGGACGAGGAAGGGGGCCAGGCGGGGCTTGCTGAGGGCCGCAGTACTGGGGACACTTGATCCGACTGATGGGCGCGAGGTTGCTGTGTAAAAAGTTTAGAAGGAGCCAGCAGAGGCCAGTTAGAGCGGCTGGCGGCGGGTGGGCGTGGCCGTGGCGCGTGGGGGCGCTGCGGGTGCCCGGAAGCAGGTCTGGAGGGTGGGTGGGGGCTGCAGGGGCGGGGCTAGCAGCGGAGTGCGGGCGGGGCGCGGGAGGCTAGCCAGTGTGGGCGGGGTCGTGCCCTGGGCTGGGCAGGGCAGGGGCCTGTCTGGTAGCCTTGTCCCCACCCACTCCAGATTCGGCGCTGGCCACACACTGACCCTGAGGGTGCCCGTGGACCGGCACGAGGGAGCGACGGCCTTTGTGGTGGCGGCATTCCCCGGGGCCGAGCTGCGAGAAGCGCATGGGGGTCGCCTACGCTTCCAGCTGCCACAGGGAGAGCGCGGCGCCCTGGCACACATTTTTGAAGAGCTGGCAGCCCATGGTTCAGACCATGGCATGGAGGACTTCTCTGTGAGCCAGACCACACTGGAGGAGGTGACCACAGTGTCGGGCTGGGACTGGGGAGGGGCTGGGGCCAGGGTCCTGGGTTGACAGCCCCTCCTGTCCGTCCTGTCCTCTCTGGACCACCCACCTGCCAGGTCTTCCTGCACTTCTCCAAGGACCAAGGGAAGGAGGAGGAAGACCAGGAAGGAGTGGAGGTGGAGCCTGCAGCAGGCTCTGAGCATCCCAGAGGCCTTGGCCGGGCCTCCGTGGACACCCTAGTGATGGAGACTGTGCTCTGAGCCTGCCTCCCCCCGGGGCAGGAGAGCCCCAGGAGCCAACATCAGCCCCCCAGAGCACCCGCTACCCTGGAGCAAATAGAGAAGACTGGGGCCGAGGCGGGGGCTCCGTGGTAGAGCACTTGCCTAGCATGTGTGAGGCATGCGTTCCATTCTCAGCACCACATATAAATAAATGAATAAAATAAAGGTCCATACATCTAAAAACATATTTAAAAAAGAGAGACGGAGAAGACTGCAGAGAAGATGTGAACCTCTGTGTCTTTATGGCAGACGACACATGCAGTGTGAGTGGGGAGTGAGTGTGTTTGTGATCACAGGAGATTTGTGGGGCATGTGTGAGCACATTGACATGCTTGAACCCACTCGGTGCTGGTGATCCTGGGCATGAAGCGTGCAGAATGGGCTTTCTAGAAGCCTGGTCGCAGGTACCAGGCTGCCACATGGGTCTGGCACCTAAGGACAACTGACCATGAAGGGGGTCTGAGGTCAGAGCTTGGGAATGTCCTGGGCAGCTTTGAGGAGGCTGGAGTACCCGCCTTGGCTACCCAAAGCCTACATAACTAGTGGACCAGCTCTTCGAGACCCCAGCCAGCAGAACAATGAATGGTGGACAGACGGTCCTCAAAGGGCTGCTTGACTGGGCTTGCAGCTGGACCCAGGGCCTGGAGAGCTAGACCTGGCTCCAGGGGTTGTGGCCTTTCTGGCCTGTGCACCCAAGAGCCACCTCTTGCACCCGAGGTCAGTGAGAGTGAGGAGGGGTGAGAGGTGCAGAGGGTGAAGGGGCTGGGCTTTTAGGTCACCAGGAGAATTCAGAGAGGGGAGCTGACCGGGGAGGAGACAGCCCTCAGACTGGGGGCCCGCTGGGGAGAAGATGGGTGTCCCCTGTGGACACTGGTTCCAGCGGTTGCCGGCTCTCTGAGGTGCACACCCCACCCTGCAGATCCAGTGGCACCCTGGGTGGGCTCAGGACCTGGAAAGCAGGAATGGGACAGGGTGGAGAGCTGAGCTGAGGCCAGTGACCAGAAAAGTGAGGGAGGGGTGTACCTGCGGGTGGAGGGGGTGCCCCTGTCGCCTCCTGGCCTGAGGCTCCAGCCCTCTGCCTCATCTGGGTGAAAATCCGAACCCAGCTATCCCGAGCCCAGGGGTCTGTGCGCTCCCACTGGCAGCTGGGTGGGTGTGTTTGAGTTGAAGGTCAGCATCCCTGTGGTCGCCGCCCTGCTGTGTACACTGAGAGCGCCTCGCCACCCGCGCGGGTGTGGACTTCGCGGCTCCTGAAAGAGGAAGCCGGGGCGGGGCGGGGCGGCCTGCGACCTCTGATCGCGCCCACTCTGCCGTCTGGCAGGCTGAGGCTCGCACCTCAGCGGATCTGTGGGGTGGGTCTGCGGTGCCGCCTCGGAGGCCTTTCCTGTGCCGGCGACCCGAGCGCCAATGAGGGCCCGGCCTGTCACGTGGGCCTGACAGCTGGGGAGGGGGTGGCCCGTGGCAATGTGGTCTCCAGGCAGCCAGCGCTAGGAGCTGCATTTCCAAGACCCCCCAGCGAGCCGACCTGCCGGCCCCCGGGGTCACCCCTCTGACCCCACCATGTTCTCCAGGAAGAAGCGGGAGCTCATGAAAACCCCTTCCATCTCCAAAAAGAACCGGGCGGGAAGCCCCAGCCCGCAGCCCTCAGGGGTGAGTCCTGGCAGACGGGCGGGGAACTGGGGCAACACCCGCTGGAGGCACAGGGGCGCTTCCGCGGGCAGCGTGAGGTACAGCACTGGCCACACCATGCTGGGCCGGCGATGGGGCACCCACGCCAGCTACAGTCCCCACCAGGCTGGATGGCAGAGGTCACCAGGAACAGGCCAGGACCTGGGTATTCGGCTCACGGTAGGGGGCCTCAGGGCTAGTTGGTCGGGACAGTGCCAGAGTGGGAGTGGGCCCGGAGCTCTGCAGGAGGGGGCTCAGGAGCTGTTGAAGGAGGGGGGGGCTGCAGCCCCGGTTGGGCTGCGTGTTGATAGCAGGTCATCTTATGGATCTGTGTGGCACAGTGGTCTGGGAGAGGGAGTGTCCCCAGGGGCTGAGGGCGTCTCCAGTTTAGGAGTTTGGGGGCCTCTGTCCATAAGGCCTGGGGTGTCCCTAGGACTCAGAGGTCTACCAGAGCCTGGGCCTACAGGAACTGTCGGAGGAGCCTTTTCCGAAGAGGACACATCCGCAGGAGCCGGGGGTCGACTCAGGCGGAGGGCTGCCTCTGGCCTCCCTACCCCCACCAGGAAGTGGGGTTCCCCTCCCCCAAGCGCCTCTGCGCACTCCACCCCTGGCTGTGGTTTGGGCAGGGACCGTTGTTTGTGAAAAGCTCCAGGGAAGAGGATGTTGGGTAACAGGTGCCGTGGGGGGGGGGGCCACAGGTCCCAATCTCAGCCCCTGACCTCTGGCCTTTGACTCCCCTGGAACAAGGCTGAAGATTCTCCAGAGTCACACTTCATTTCTGGGGAAACCGAGGCACTGTCAAAGCTGAAGCACCCTCTACCCTCTTTCCCGCCCTCCCAGGAGCTTCCCAAGAGAGATGGAGTGGATGTGGTGTTCCCCGGGCCCAGCCTGGAGCCCCCCGCTGTGTCCTCAGGTGCCAAGGCCACAGGCACCCTCAAGCGGCCCACCAGCCTGAGCCGCCACGCCAGTGCTGCTGGCTTCCCGCTCCCCGGCGCTGCCTCCTGGACACTAGGCCGGGGCTACCGAAGCCCTCTGACTGCCTCCAGCCCTGCCGAGCTGCCCACCGAGGGGCCTGGCCCCGATGCGGTGGAGGACATCTCAAACCTGCTGGCCGATGTGGCCCGCTTCGCAGAGGGCCTTGAAAAGCTGAAGGAGTGTGTGTTGCATGACGGTGAGAGTCAGCCGAGACCGGGCGGCCAGGGTGGAAGGCTGAGTGGACGTAGGCATGGTCAAAAAGGAAGCAGGGAGGGACTTGGGGAAGGTCCAGATGGGTTGCAGAGAGGCTGCCGGGAGGAGGCCATGACCACCCGGATTCAGAGGGATGTGTAGGAGTTGGGTGATCAGGAGGAGGGAAAAGCATTTCAGTGGAGGGACCGTCCTGTGCCAGGCTCAAACATGGAAACAGAGAACAAATGCAAAGGTGTGGAGGGCCCTGGTGTGCCCACCGTGAGAACGAGGCTGTGGCGTGGGTCTGAGGGCCCTGGACATAACCCTGGAGGCTACGGGAGCCATAGAGGGTGTTCCTGCAGAGGAGGGGCGGGTTCATCTGCTCTGGAGGCTGTGGGCTGAAGGTGGGCTGCGGTCTGGGTGGAGAGGCTGTGGGGCCCATGAAGGTAGCAGGAGGTGCTGGGGCTGAGGCCTGCGCGATAGCAGTTCCGTTTTCTCCACGCGGCTGCTGACAGTCCTGCTTCCTGCCGAGTTATTTTCATCTGCTTCCTGTTTGTCCCTGGCAGCTCAGGCGGGCACTTCGACGGGGGCGGGCACAGCACCTCCTGAACCATCTTCAGCCCCACACTAAACCGCAGTGCCAGGGCCGCACCGTTGGAGCGCCCTGACCTGCTCCCCTAAGCAGCCCATCCCACAGATGAGGAAACCGAGGTTCCAGCAGGCTGGACCTCAGCTTCGCTGCTTTCTGGGGGATAACAGAGGCTGTGTGGCCTAGGCCCTGCTGAGAGGGGTGGGAGCCTGCGGGTTATCTGGTCCCGGGGGTGGAGGCCAGAGCCAGTTTCCTGGGGAAACCCTAATCTCGGTTCCTTCCGAGCCTGGCGCTTCCTTGGAGGTTCGGCGTGGGCTGGGCGCAGCCCGGGGACATCTTGCAGACTCACAGCCCTGCGTCCCAGGGACGCCCTGCGCGGGGAAGAACCTGGCGCCAGCAGGAGGCGGGTTGGAGTCCTGGAGCCGCCCCTGCCGGCCGGAGACTCTGGGCTAGCCACTGTCCTGTCTACAGCGCAGGCGCTGGTTCTGTAAGCCGGGGCAGGGACACAGGCGCCGTGGGATTAGCGCGAAGGTCTCCAGAGTAGTTTATGCTCATGGAGACCTCCTCGCCCTTGGTCTCTTCTCGGGCCTTGGTTTCCCCACCCGTCCTGGACTGCCCTTCTTGGAGCCGCACAGCCTTGGATCCCTCCAGCGCTACCTGTAGCCAGGAGCCGAGGACCCTAACAAAGGGCAGCTGGACGCAGGGGCGGGGTTCTCCTCTGCGGGGCAGGGGTTGCCATACTGGCCAAAGCCGGTTTGGCCGCTGGCCAGCCACAGAGACCCCCACCAGTCAGGCACCTACTCCCAGGTGCACGGTCGCCGTCCGGGTCCCACCACGCCAGGTGCATCTGCCAGACGGTGGGCGCACCCAGCGTGGGAGGATGCCCCGTGTGTGCTGCCTGGTGGGACCCTGAGGTGAGGGGCAGCGCGGGGTGCAAGGTGCCCCCGCCCCCCAGTGGCGCTCCGGGCTGGCCGCCAGGGACGCACAGCTGCCGAACACTTGCCTTGGCCACGTCAGCCTTGCATCTCTGCACTTGGCAGGTGCCCCTCCTGTAGCCCACGTCTCGGGTGGAGGGGTGCTGTGGGAATCTAGGTGACCCAGGCCCTTAGGGGCAGGCCCGGGAAGGAGTGTGGTGGAGGGCAGGGGCGTGGCCTTCCCTAGATTCCTGAAATCCCCTCTGGGGGTCTGGAGGTCTTGGTGCTGAGAAGGGACGGGCAGTGATGTTCAGGCTTCACTTGGCTTGGGGGCACCCTCCAGCGGTCCTCTCCCGGATCTCACTGTCCCGTCATTCTTGACCTTCCAGGATCCCTGCCATTCTCTCCGCTAGCTCACCCACACTCTTCCTGTTTGGTTTCTTTTGCTGGGAGAGGGTGCTGGGGCTGGAACCCAAGTCCTCGTTCGCAGGTAGACAAGGGGTTCACCAGTGGCCCACATTCCCCAGCTCCCCATTTTTATAAAAGCTTCTGACTTAGAGCGTTTGAGGGGGCATTGAAGTCCTATCCCCACACACCACGACTAGTTCCCAGCCCTTGGCTCCTGGTGGCCCAGGAAGTAAAGCCAGACAGGTGCTTCCCTGCCGTTCCCGCCCTCAGAGCCGGTGAAGTGGAAGTGTCCCCGGGCCTCGGCTTCCTCATGTGCAGAGTGGAGGTGCCCACTGCAGTAGCTGCCAGGATTGCGCCGTGGGAGGTGAGGGGTGGCCGGCCCGGTGCTCAAGCAGGCAGAAGGGCAGGCCGGAACCAGGGGGCTGCGTGGAGGAGGAGGCCAGGACTTGGCCTTGGACAGCAGCAGTTTGTTTTCCGGAGGGTCTGAAGGAGTTCTGAGTGGAAGGGACTGTCTAGGCCGAGGACCGGTCTGTGCAGACCTGACCAGGAGCCCAGAGAGGGTGAGTCCCTCCCCTGGGTCTCCTGGCTGCCCTCTCCCACCTCGGCCTCAGTGTGCTCACCTGGGGACAGGAGCTGTGAGGACACAGCAGACCCCCTGGGACTGGCCCCTTCTTTCCTGCTCACACCCACTCTGACCAGCAGATCTCCTTGAGGCCCGCCGGCCACTGGCCCACGAGTGCCTGGGTGAGGCCCTGCGTGTGATGCGCCAGGTCATCTCCAAGTACCCACTGCTGAACACCGTGGAGACCCTCACTGCTGCTGGCACCCTCATTGCCAAGGTCAAAGGTCAGCAGATGGGCAGGGGGCAGCCAGGCCTGTCTGCCAGGCAGGACTTCCTGGAGGGGGCGCTCTCTGAAGTGGGTTTTGAAGGATGCACAGGCGTTTGGCAGGCACAGCGGCTCCCTGATGCTTGGGTGAGGCTCTGTCAGTGAGCTAAGGGATGATGGCCTTTCAGAGTGTCCTCTGCTTCCCAGCCTTCCACTATGAGTCCCACAATGAGTCGGACAAGAGGGAGTTCGAGAAGGCCCTGGAGACCATGGCTGTGTCCTTCAGCAGCACGTGAGCTCACACGGGAGCCCCTGGGGCGGGCTGAGGGACATGGTGCCATGTGCCTCTGGTGCTGACCCTCTGGCCCTGCAGTGTGTCCGAGTTCCTCATGGGCGAAGTGGACAGCAGCACGCTCCTGGCCGTGCCCCCTGGGGACCCTAGCCAGGTGAGCAGCGGGGGTGGGGCGGGTCTGCATCCACCTGTGGGTGTGCTCCCCCCTCAGGCAGGTGGTGGCCACCTCCTGCAGGGCAGGATCCCCAGGGCTGGTCTCACTAGCGTCTCCCTCTGAGCAGTCCATGGAGAACCTGTACGGACAAGGCAGTGAGGGCCCCCTGCCCAGCACTGAGGACTGTGAGGAAGGTAAGTGTCCCAGAGCCCCAGGGGCAGGTGCGTGGGCTGGGCACCAGAGGCCGGCACTGAGCTGGACGGAGAGGGCAGGGTGGCCAGATGGCTGGGTGGTGGCCTTCCAGGCTGAGCAGGTGCCCCACAGGCTGCCCACCCCCGGAGGAAGTGGACGTGCTCCTGCAGCGCTGTGAGGGTGGTGTGGACGCTGCACTGCAGTATGCCAAGAACATGGCCAAGTACATGAAGGACCTCATTGGCTACCTGGAGAAGCGGACGGCTCTGGGTGAGGGTGGGCCCTGTGGGGTCTGCCAGAGGGCCCCGGGAGTCGGTGCACCGGCGCCTTCTGACACTTGGCACCTCACACCCTGCAGAGATGGAGTTTGCCAAAGGCCTACAGAAGATCGTCCACAACTGCAGACAGAGTGTCATGCACGAGGTGGGCCCCGCGGGCTGGGACCGGGCCTCCCTTCCGTACTACAGGAGCGGGCTATGGCTGCAGGGGCTCTGAGAGGTGACAGGGTTCCAGAGCTGGGCTGCTGCCCGGGCCATCCCTCCCCACCTCAGTGACTGGCCCCACCCCCACAGCCCCACATGCCCCTCCTGTCCATCTACTCGCTGGCCCTGGAGCAGGACCTGGAGTTTGGCCACGGCATGGTGCAGGCGGTGGGCACGCTACAGACCCAGACCTTCATGCAGGTGGGCTGGGCCTCCGGGGTGGGCTGGTGGGGGTGTGGCCAGGGCCCCCACTGAGGGACCATCTCTCCCCAGCCCCTGACCCTGCGGCGGCTGGAGCATGAGCGGCGCCGGAAGGAGATCAAGGAATCCTGGCACCGGGCACAGAGGAAGCTGGTAGGGGTAGCAGGCGTGTGACTTCGCCTTCCTGCCACTCGGAGGCTGTGCTAGCACTGCGCCTGCGCTCCTGCGCCTTTTTGCGCAGGCGTCGATCGCAGCCACAGCACGGTCTGGCCCGGGTTGCGTGCCCAGGACTGAGGCCCTCTGCTCCCCGGTTCCCACTGCGGGTGGTTCAGAAGTGGGGAGAAGCCGGGTTTCCTCGGGCTGCAGAGAGCTAGTCCCCACGAGAGGGGGACACTGAGGCCCAGTCACTCTCGTCTGGGGTTGGCTCCCCAGTTCCCTTTCGGGTGGCTTCAGCAGCACCGTGGACTATGGTTCGTCTTTTTAGCTGAGTTAGCAGCGCGGGGGTGGGGTGGGGTGGGGTGAGAAGCCCCTTCCTGGACGCTTCCAGCGTATACCAGCCAACTCCAGCAGCTCCGCGGCTCCTGGGTGACCATTTTGGCGCTTGTCTCTCCACTGACCCCTGCACCGAGAAGTTCACCCCTTAGGGTCCAGACGATGCAGCCTCGTTCCATGGCAGCTGCTCAGCACTCAGCTGAGGCTTCTGTGGCTCAGTATGTGGAAGGGCAGTTGCTTTAACAAGCATCACAGCCGAGACAACTGTGCTCCCACCTCCAGAGCTTGTGAGGGTTTATCTCAGATCCAAAACAGATGTCATGGTGGAGACAGGTACAGGATGGCTTTGCTGCTGCACCATGGCCATGCTTCTCAGCTTTGTGAGACCTCAGGTTATAGCCCTTTCCTTGGTGGGCCTCAGACAGGGCCTTCTTCTTCCATTATTATTATCTTGTATTGGTTTGATAGAGCTCTTCACCTGTTGGGGAACTCTGATCCCAACACTGTGAATTATAGACTCCTCCTACCTACTTGATGGCTTGACCTTTCCCCCGCCTCTCCGAGTGCTGGGATTGAACCCAGGGGCACCAGTGAACCACGTCCCCGGCCCTGTTTATTCATCCACTTTAAAGTATGTATTCAGTTTATTCCGTTTAAGATTAGCTGAGGGCTGAAGGGATCCCTGAGACTTAGACTGATTTAGGCATGTAAATTCCAAGCCACCAGTTAGGAAGATGAGTCGGCTGTCTGAAGCTCCAAAACGAAGCATGGTCTTCTCCTAGCCTGATGCCCGTGGTCCTGGACATTTTTATTTCCTAAATAGAGCAGATTCTTCTCTCACACAGCTGACCTTCCTGTGTCCTTCTCCTGGTACTTCTCCTCAGCCCTTTTTAATTTCTGGTTTTCAGACGGGATCTCACTGAGTTGCTGAGGCTGGCCTTTAACTTGTGTCTCCTGCCTCAGCTTCCCGAGTTGCTGGGGCTGTGAGTGTGGCTGACACATTCCGCTTGACTTTGTTTCTTCTTTCAATCCTTTTATTGGTTGCTTTTTCGGGACTAGGCATGGAACCCAAGACCTCACACGAGCTAGGCTGGCGCTGTCCACCGAGCCGTGCCCCCAGGCCCTCGTGTTTCTGGGTTTGATCTGCCCTGCTTGTTTTGCAGGAAGAAGCCCTGGTGGTAGTTGATTGCAGTAGTCTGTGTGTTTTGTCGGATTGAACCAGGAGTGCTGTGCCACTGAGCCACATCCCCAGCCCTATTTTATATCTTATTTAGAGACAGGGTCTCTCTGAGTTGCTTACTGCCTCACTAAGTTGCTGAGGCTGGCTTCGAACGTGCAATCCTCCTGCCTCAGCCTCCCCAGCCGCTGGGATTACAGGTGTGCACCACTGAAGCCCGTCTTCATTTTATTTTGAGACAGGGTCTCAGTAAGTTGACAGGTCCATCCACAGCTCTGGCTTTTTTACATGGAGTTTTGTGTTGTCCATCAAAAGGGATTCCCACACATGGGATTATTTTGAAATGTTCTCTTAATACTTGCCGTACTTTTTCCTTTTCTTCTTCTTTTTTTGGCTGAGGACTGAGCAAGAGTTCCACCAGCGAGTGGTGGCTGAGCCCCTGGTTCTTTTCTGCACGTTTGGCCTCTGATGGTTTGGGCTGAGGGGCCTCCTGGGCCGGTGGCTTCTGAGCAGGTTCCTGGTGTCAGGGGTGTCTGGCTTCCTGCCAGCCTCCGACTCCAGTCGCACCTGTGTTTCTGTCAGAGGCTATCCCACTCCTTGAGGGGTCTGGTTGCGGGTGTCACCTCCGATTCTGCTGCTGTTGGGCAGGGACCACTGTGTGCCAGACGGGACTGTGGTTCCTGCGTGGCTTGGCTTGGTCCTGCTGGGTGCCGGAGCTGGGGCTGGAGAAGAGGGTGGGAGCAGCCAGGGCTGGAGGAGAAGCTGCACCCGGCCCCACCTCGCCTTCTCACCACCCAGCAGGAGGCAGAGGCCAACCTGCGCAAGGCCAAGCAGAGCTACATGCAGCGCTCCGAGGACCATGACAAGGCCCGCTTCCTGGTGGCCAAGGCAGAGGAGGAGCAGGCCAGCTCAGGACCTGGGGCGGGCAATGCAGCCTCCAAGACCCTGGACAAGAGGCGGCGGCTGGAGGAGGAAGCCAAGAACAAGGTGAGGGCAGCAGGAGGGTCAGCAGAGGGTCTGGTAGGAGGAGACCCCGGGCAGCATCTCCCGCACTTGTGTGAAGTCCCATCTCCAGGCCTCTGCGCACGCACCCTCTCCTGCCTGGCTCCTCCCCGGGTTTCTGCATGGCTTGGCTGGGTCCTGCTGAGGGCTGAGCCGCTCCCCCCCACCCTCAGGCGGAGGAAGCCATGGCCACCTATCGCACCTGTGTGGCGGATGCTAAGACACAGAAGCAGGAACTGGAGGACACCAAGGTGACAGCACTGCGGCAGATCCAGGAGGTCATCCGGCAGAGCGACCAGACCATCAAGTCGGTGCGTGCGGGGGCGGGGCTCTGGCCGTGGAGCCTGCAGGGCGGCCGCTCACCTGTGGGTGCTGCCCGCAGGCCACCATCTCCTACTACCAGCTGATGCACATGCAGACGGCGCCCCTGCCGGTGCACTTCCAGATGCTGTGCGAGAGCAGCAAGCTCTACGACCCGGGCCAGCAGTACGCCTCCCACGTGCGCCAGCTGCAGCGTGGCGAGGAGCCCGACGTGCGCTACGACTTCGAGCCCCACGTCTCCTCCAGCTCCTGGTACGCCACCCGCCCAGCCGGCTCCCGGGCACAGGCACCGGTTCGGGGGGCAGGCTTCCCACCTGGAGGGGCAGGGCTGCTGTGAGGCCCTGCCGACCCTTCCTCCTCACCCTTCCACCAGGTCTCCCATCATGCGTGCCCGGAAGGGCAGCTTCAACGTCGGGGACATGGTGGGGACAGAGGCCACTGGCAGCTCCCCTGAGGAAGGTGGGCCCAACGAAGGGGCGCCTGCCAAGGAGCCCAGGGGTGAGTGCCTGGTGAGAGCAGGGGACACTGGTTCCCAAGGCCGCCTGAGGCCTGTGCTGGACACACCCTCCTTCTTCCCCAGGGGTGCGGGGACACCAGGTGCACAAGTCCTGGCCCATCTCCATCTCAGACTCCGACAGGAGTCTGGACCCCAGGCTGGGCTCAGGTGAGGCCTGAGGCCTGCCCAGCGGGCTGGGGCAGGGAGCTGCTAGTCACCCTGGCTTGGGAAGTCTGACAGTCCTCTGTCCTACATAGAGGACTTTAAGAAGTTTCAGCGCATGTCATCCAGCGGTGCCGTGTCACCCAGTGAGGAGCTGGTGGAGCAGGAAGGTGGCCCAGAGGTGTCTGCCTTTGAGCAGGGTGAGGAACTGTGGCCTGAGAGGGGAGGGAGAGAGCTCTGGAACCCCGTCCAGGGCTTTGCCCCTCCTGCCTTGTGACACTGGCTGCCCGTCTCACGCCTAGCTGACCTCAATGGCATGGCTCCTGAGCTGCCTGTGGCTGTACCCAGCGGCCCTTTTCGCAATGTGGGGCTGTCCAAGGCAGCCCGCACCCACCGGCTTCGGAAGCTCCGGACACCCGCCAAGTGCAGGGAATGTAACAGCTACGTGTACTTCCAAGGAGCGGAGTGTGAGGAGGTACACGCCTCGCCCATTGGGGCAGCAGTGCTGCGGGGGAGTGCAGAGTGTCTGGGGGGGATGTGAGAGCCAATGTTGAAGCCCTGGGCTGTGGCAGGAAAATCAAGGGGTTGAAAGGCGGCAGGACAGGGGTATAGAAACACCAGTTTTCAGCTGGGTACAGTGGCACTCACCTGTAATCCCAGCAGCTGGGGAGGCTGAGGCAGGAGGATCGCAAGTTCAAAGCCAGCCTCAGCAATGGTGAGGTGCTAAGCAACTCAGTGATTCTGTCTCTAAATAAAATACAAAATAGGGCTGGGATGTGGCTCGGTGGTAGAGAACCCCTAAGTTCAATCCCTAATACTAGTACTGAAAAAAAAAAAGAAGAAAGAAATCCCAGCCCCAACCCCAAGCAGCAGGAGTTCCACCCAAGAGGGGTGTCTGCCTGCCGGGAGCAGTCTGGCTTGTGCCTTCAGAGGATGTCATGGAAATCGCAAGGGCTCCAGGGAGGAAGGTGCAGGTGGAGCCCCGCCTGCCCGGGCTGAGGCTCGCTGCCTGCTGACCCCCAGTGCTGCCTAGCCTGCCACAAGAAGTGCCTGGAGACCCTGGCGATTCAGTGCGGCCACAAGAAGCTGCAGGGCCGCCTGCAGCTCTTCGGCCAGGACTTCAGCCAGGCAGCCCGCGGTACCCAGGATGGCGTGCCTTTCATCGTCAAGAAGTGCGTCTGCGAGATCGAACGGCGCGCGCTGCGCGTCAAGGTGTGTCTCTGGGAACTGGTGGGATTCCCGGGTCCTGGGAGGCGGGCAGAGGCTGACAGCTGCACCGCAGGGCATCTACCGGGTCAACGGTGTGAAGACGCGCGTGGAGAAGCTGTGCCAGGCCTTCGAGACCGGCAAGGAACTGGTGGAGCTGTCGCAGGCCTTACCGCACGACATCAGCAACGTCCTCAAGCTCTACCTGCGCCAGGTGAGGCGCGCTGGAGGTGTGCACCGAAGGGGCGTGGCCAGAGCGCGGAGGGGCGTGGGCACAGGTGCTCTCTGGAGGACTGGGGCGGAGTCGGTTGCTGCAGTGGGTGGAGCCCTGGTGTGGCTGGGCGTGGCTATGGCGGCAGGCTAGACCAGCCCTCCGACTCTGGTCCTGACACCCTCCTGCAGCTGCCGGAGCCTCTCATATCTTTCCGCCTATACCACGAGCTCGTGGGGCTGGCCAAGGACAGCCTGAAGGCAGAGGCCGAGGCCAAGACGGCGTCCAGGGGCCGGCAGGATGGGTCTGAGAGCGAGGCGGCAGCTGCTGTTATGGTGGGCCGCGTACGGGAGCTGCTGCGGGACCTGCCCCCGGAGAACCTGGCCACATTGCAGTATCTGCTGAGACACCTGCGCAGGTAAGTCGTAGGGCTGGGGCCCAGGGTTTCAGGCCGGCTCCAGGAGCCACTCACACACCCTGTGCTCTCGTGCCCCAGGATAGTGGAGGTGGAACAGGATAACAAGATGACCCCAGGGAACCTGGGCATTGTATTTGGGCCAACACTGCTGCGGCCGCGACCCACAGAGGCCACCATCTCCCTCTCCTCTCTGGTGGACTATCCCCACCAGGCCCGTGTCATTGAGACCCTCATCGTCCACTACAGCCTTATCTTCGAGGAGGAGCCTGAGGAGGCACCAGGGTGCCAGGTGAGGCAGGGGTCGGAGCCACAGCCGTGCACAGGAGGGTGTGGGTGCCAGCAGGTGGGGACAACACTGGGAAGCCCTTGTTTGGGACAGAGCAGCCAGTTGTCTTGGGAACAGAGACTATACAAGGTGTGTCTGAGCCCTGGGACAGAGTGCTGGGGAAACAAAGGCACTGCTGGCCTCCACCCTCCACCTGCTCCACTTCCTGCACGTGGGCAGCTGGGGCCACTTCAGCCAGAGGCCTGGCTGGGGTTCTTTAAGTTCGTTCCCTTTCCTCACAGCATCTGCTCCTCTCTTCTCTTCAAGTCCTCCTTGTGTTTCTTCACCCGTCTCCTGGCATCTCGTGGTGTTCCTGAGTTTTCTCTTACCCCCACCAGCCTCAGTGAGCCCCCGAGAGCCAGGGACCCTCAGGACTGGGGCCAGGACTCCATGGCTCTGACGCTGGCGTGTGTGCTGGGCCTGGCCCGTCTGGCAGAGCGGGTGGGCTGGGAGCAGGAGTGCAGGGGCTGTTTCAGGAGGAGCAGGCCTATTTGCACAAGCTGTGGGAGTGGACACGGAGTGGACACTGGGACATCACACAGCCTCAGTAGCAGCAGTTCTTACTTTCAGGGTCTGGGGCAGCTGGAGCTGCGGCCTCCCTGACTCCCTTCCCCCTGGCAGGATGGGCCACCCAGTCAGCGGGCAGAGGTGGTGGTTTCCATGCCCTACCCGGAGGCTGGAGAGGAGTCTGCCTATGCCCTGCAGGAGGAGGCAGAGGACAGGGGCCGAGGTGAGTGGGGCTGCAGGGAGGCCAGGCCCTGGTGCCAGTGGGCACATGTGTCCACAGTGGGGCCTGCGTGCACAGCACAGGTTGGAGTCGCGGTGCCCAAGACTGCACTTCTGTGGGGTCGTCTGCCACGGACACCACGTGTACCCAGTATTCAGCACTGTCCTTTCAAGTGTTGTAACCAAGCCAACAATGCCTTCTTTCCAAGGTGGCCATCTGCACTGAGGAATGGCCATGACGATCGCTGCCCACAGGCCTTGAGTCTTTGAGGCACCAACATGGGGCCAGGCCAAATGCTTCCCTGGGGGGAGTGTAGTATCTGAGAGAGGGAGCAGGCTGGGGTGGGGACCCTGGGATTTGACTCAGGTGGAGATGTCCCAGTGTCCACCCCGTGTCCACTGAGCCAGGTCCTCCACTCCATTCTCTCTCCCTCTCTGTCCGGCCTTCCCAGAATCCCGAGTTGCATCTAACGATTCTGACTCAGAGCTGGAAGAGGGCTCGGATCCCTTGTCGTCCTCAGACGCCAGCGCCCTGCACCACCTCAGCTTTCTGGAGAAGGAGGGTGAAGCCGGCCTGGAGGCTGGCCGGAGCCGCAGTGGCAGTGAGGGGCAGCTGGGGGAGGAGGAGGACGAGGAGGACCAAGTGCTGCAGCTCTCAACCTACAACACCAACCAGTCCAACAACATGGCGCAGGCCCAGCGGCCCACCATGAGACTCCGTGGCGGGCAGATGGCGGCAGGCACCTGCTGGGGGCGACAGCCAGATTTCCTCTGAGCTGGGGTGGTGGGTGGGGACAACTGCCAGCTTCTCTTATACCTGGTCTGTGTCTCTGCCTCTTGGGGCCATCTGCATCTCAAGGCTGGGCTAGCCTCGCAGGCCTGTCCTGGGTGAGAGCACCTGTGCTGGCACAGTCCTGCTGGCCGACAGGGCGGCAGCCTCCTCCTGAAGCTTCTCACCTCGGCTCAGCTGAGCTGGAGACCTGGCTCTTGGGGAAGCTCCCTATCTTTGGTCGGCCCACAGGGCTGTGTAGGTGGAGCAGTCTGGTCCAAGTCCCCTCGCTGCCCCTGGGCTCTCAATCTTAGGCCCTGCACTGATGTCTCCTCACCCCTGCGGGGCTGGAGGCTGTTCTGGGTGCTGTGGAACTGGGGTGCAGGCCAGTCTTGACACTGAAGCCCAGGCTGGGGGTCAGTAGGGGCAGGCTGACTTTGGGATTTGCTCACTTTTCCAGAAAGCTCTGGACACCTAGAGTCCAGGTCACCCAGGTCTGGGTACACAGTGCAGTCTCTCGCAGGTCACCATGCACTTCTTGGAAATGTGTCTGTTTTGCTTAAAATAAACTTATACCTGGTCTGTGTGCTGTGGCCCTGGGAAGGGGGAAGCTGGGCCACAGGCCCGTGGTGTGTCCTTGGCTTCCTGGCCGAGGAGGGCCATGGGGAGGAGGTCCCCTCTGCCAGCCTGGTGGTTTGGCAAGCCTGGGAGTCCTGGAGGCAGCCTACAGCTCCGGGATGGCCTGCAGAGCGGTCCGCATGGAGAGCATGTTCTCCGCTGCAAGGTCCCTTGCCACCCCCCCTGGCTGCCAGGGGCCAGGCTGTGGCAAAATTTGACTCGTGACCTTCTGGAGACCGAACCTGGAGCTCACGCATACTCAGCGTGCTCTCTGTCACGGCCAGTGGAGGAGTGGCCACTACCCACCCGCCTCTTGGTCCTGACCCTCACCTGAGGGATGGTGCGGGGGTCACTGCTGGGTGAGGCCCTGAGGCTCACCCAGGGCAAATTTCCTGGGCAGAAAGAGGTGAGCTTTGACTCCAGGCAGGGCTCCACAGCAGATGGTGGGGGAGAAGCCCTCCCTCCCCACGCAGCAGCCGCCATCAGGACCTGCAGCCCCAGACCCTACATGAAGCTGCACTGAGCTGCCTGCAGGGCACAGGGTCTTCTTGGCAGGCAGCAGGCGGGGGTCTAGGTTACCACGGCCACCACTCCTGCCACAAGTCAAGTTGAGGGAGGGTGACAGGAACCCACTGGCCCACAAGGCCAGAAGCATTTCCTGTGGCCCTTGAGTGGGGATGGACCCAGGGTCTCGTGCAGCCTAGACAAGCGTCCACCACCAAGTCACCTCAGCCCACCTTGTCTTGCTGGCATCAAGAGGCACACCCAGCAGCTGACTGCATCTGAGCTGTTGTCCAGCATCCATCCCTGGAATGTTCTACCTTCTCAGACTCACACTGCCTCCCAGCTCCTGTACCCCCCTGCTGCTTCCTGCCTCTGGATCTGGGGGCTCCAGGGACCTCCTGCAGTGACGGGCTCATATTAGGCAAGGTGATTTTAAAAAGCAGCGTGTCTATTTTTGGAGAGAAGGGACACTTGCTCTACCTGTTAGACATACTATAAGGCTAAAAGCATAATCGATCCCTGGAAAAGAGGGAACCTCCAAACAGACCCCTGTGTGTCTGGGTTTTCACATAATAGCACTTCAGGGTGGCCAGGAGAGGCCCTGCCTCTGACGGGTCCAGACCCTCTTCGGTCCAGGGTAGTTAGGCCCCATCTAAATGTACGGGAAGGCCCACTTGTAAACAAGTAACCATGTGGGTACTTAAGGGTCATGAAAAGAAGTCTTTGCAAATCTCGTATCTGGTAAGGAACCAAAATCTACAAACAAGTCACTTCACATCTACCACGAGAGCTTCACTCAAAGAAGGGCCTGGGGTTGGACTGAGGTCGAACACCTGCTCAGCACCTGCAAGGCCCTGGGTTCCATCCTCAGCACCACATAAAGATAAATAAGTAAAATAAAGGTGTTGTGTCCAGTTACAACCAAAAAACATTAAAAAAAATTTTTTTAAATAAAAGTAAAATATATTAAAAAAAAAAAAAAAGGTATACATTAAGAGGTGCCGGTGAGCAGTGAGGGTGAGAAGCCAGGGCCCAGTGCAGGCTGGGGTGAGACATGCAGCCGCCAAGCAGGTCTGAGCACCACCTACCAGCTCGGCCACTCCTGGTGTATGCCCAGAGCAACGAGAGCCTGTCATCACACATCTGCCCACAGATGGCCTCAGCAGCTCTGCACCATAGTCAAGTGCCAGCGCAGCCCAAGGTCAATGTCCCAGGTGAAGGGACACCCAGCCTGGTCCAGGCACACCTGGAGTGTCCTCAGCCACAAGCAGGAGCGAGGTGACAGCTGCAGCGTGGATGGACCCAAGGACCTTATGCCCTATGAGAACCAGACACACGAGGCCACAGAGTGTGACCCAGTAACAAGAGACCCCCAGTGCAGGAGAGTCCAGAGGCAGGATGTAGATCTGTGGGTGCAGGGCTGGGAGGGGACGGGTTTCTCTTTGGAGTGACAGTGCTTCAGAACTAGACACGGGATGGTGGCACATCAAGAAGTAGTGAGTCCACCATCTGCAGCCAGGCCCTCAGTGGCACCACGTATGCTCGGCAGCTCAGGCTGAGGGTCTCGTCCCCAGCACTGAGGAACCCAACGCAAACGCAGACACAGCGGGAAGATTCACCAACGCCTGCTTTCCACCTGTGTGGGCAGAGGCCACCCGAGGTCAGCGGGAAAGGCAGAGACTGACCTCCTGTTTCCAGGCGAGAGGAGCAGCCGAGCAAGGTGCAGGCACTGCAGACAGGCTCACCCGGTGCTCAAGCCGAGGCGCACAGCAGGCCCAGGGGTCAGGACAGGCAGCATCTGCCCCCAGGCTCCACCCAGAGCAGGCCACCCGCATAAGCCTGGCAATTCATCTTGGCTTTTCAAACAGTCAAATTTACTTAAAATATCCTTTATTTTTAGGCCATACAGCATTCTGACAGAGGAAACCTGCCAAGGAGCTGGCACAGCCTTGCCCTCGGTGAAGTCAGGAGGTGTCAGGTGGAGATGGGGCCCAGAGCACACAGGGGCGCAGCCAGAGCCGGCCGGGCCATGAGGAGTCCTCGCCCCAGGAAGATAAAGCAAAGCAGAGACTGTTGCTCTCCAGAACGCAGGAGGGCAGGCCCCTGCAGGTAGGTGGGTGTCCCTGACGGTGGTCACCCATGCCATCTCTGGGGTCTGGGCACGGAGGAGCAGGCCTCAGTGAGTCAGGCACCTGGAACAAAGAGAGCATGCGCACAGGTGGCCCAGGGAGCTCGGGAGGGCTCTCCTACCTCAGCACTGCCCTCAGGTGGGTCTGAAGTCACCCTCCTGGTGGGATTGCCAACACCCCCCTGCAAAGCTCTGCCTCTCGCCTGCCCTGAAGGTGAACCGTCCTGACAGTGGACAGCTCAGGGGAGAAGTGATATGGGGGTAGTTCACCCCTGAATTCCTGGGCGTCTGGGGCCACAGGAGTGAACAGGCCCAGGTAGGGTCTGAGGCAGGCTTTGTCCCAGGACAGAGTGACAGCCTTCCTGGAGGCCAGCATCGGGAGAATCCCCTGCCTCTGGCCCCTCCCACACATCTCACCTGCTGTGTGGCTACTGCACCAGCCGGTAGGTGATGTACCTGCCCGCAGTCTCACTGGGCCGGATGATCTTCACCACCTGCAGAAGCACAGGGACAGGTGCTGGGGGACAAGAGGCCTCACCATGGCGGCGGCACAGGGTGGCAGGCAATGCCTGTTGAAAAGCCCAGGAGCTACTCTTCTCTGGACCCCAGTTGCTGTGGCTTTAAAAAGGTGTGTGGAATGCGGTTCTAAGGCCCTTCCAGGCTGCAGGGGATAGGACTGTGGGAGGGACAAAGCCAAGTGCCCGGCAGGCAGGTTCAGAGCAGCATCAAAGGTCGTCCTGCCCGAGAGGTCTCTCACCTGCCCTCGCTTTATCCCAAAGTAGCGGGCCACAGGGTCCCCTGCCTGGATCCTGGGCAGTTGGTTCTCTCGGAGTTTGCTGGGAAGCAGGTCAAGGAAAAGCCCAGCAGGGCCATCTGGGGTTGGGGTGGGACTCTAGGAGCCAGGGGTGTGCCTGCAAGGATACTACCGGGCCAGCAGCTCAGTCACCTCCTCCTTGGTCATGACCACATGCTCTGGGACCAGCTGTGGAGAGAGAGGAGCCCATCAGTCACCACCAGGGCTGCCAGACTTCAGGACCCAAAGCCCACCACCACCCTGAGCACACGGGGAGGGGTGGAGAACCCACACTGAAGCTGTGGGCAACCTGGGAAATGGTCACTGCATTAGGTTCTCTTTTTTTCCCCCCTGGTACCGGAGATTAAACTCAGGGGCACTTCACCACTGAGCCACATCCCCAGCCTTTTTTTGTATTTTATTTAGAAACAGGGTCTCACTGAGTTGCTTCACGTCATGCTTTTTGCTGAGGCTGGCTTTGAACTCAGGATCCTCCTGCCTCAGCCTGCCCAGCCGCTGGGATGACAAGCTTATGCCACGGTGCCTGGCTGCATTAGGTTCTCTCTACTATGCTGTCAGCACAGGGCCCAGGGGCCCCCAGAAAGAGATGCCTGCTCCCAGCCCTTATCCTGCAGGCCCAGGCAGGCCTGGGACCCACACCCTTAGCAGGCGCCTGGATGCAGAAGCTGCCCTGGCCAGGCCTCACTGTAGGAAGCCTACCCTGCCATCCTCCCCACTCCCCGCCACCAGGCCACCTCCTGCTCCAGCATGCTGATGAGCAGCACCCCCACCTTCATCTCCCACTGGCCCACCTCGTGCTCCGTGATGTTGATGAGCAATTCCTGCTGCAGGAACTGCTCCAGGATGTACTTGGGGGCCATGTCCACCAGAGACTGCAAGAGACAGGGTTGTCACACGCAGCTGTGGATGAGCAGCCTCAGCCCTGACCCCACCCCTCAGGCTGCAGGGTCTACCCATGTGCCTCCACACTGCACCCAGGTGGTATCCTCTGGCCTATGCCGGCTGTCAGAGGGCATGGTCCCTCCCAACCCGTCCAGCTGCCTCTTGGGTGTCTTCAGAGCTGGCGTGGCAACTTCTCCCCATCGAAGAGGTACCATGCGACTATGTGAACCCTACAGCCCGGGCTAGACAAAGACAGTGTGCTAGCCACCTGATCCCCATGAACCCGCTCAGCTCAATTCACCCCAAATGCCAGGAATGAGGGCACCTGTGCAGGCCACAGGGGCCCAAGCCCCTCCTGATGAGCCCACCCCCGTCCTAGCAGGACACAGAGCCTGGTTCCCACAGTCACATCAGGACTCCGGGCTGAAATCCCAGATGCGGGGATGGGAGGCCACCCTGGTTGGGGGTGCCCAGGCGAAGCCTGTCTCTGGCAGGTAGTAAGGGGGTGGCAGGCAGGGGCAATGAGGTGTTAGGCAGGCAGAAAGGGTTGGGACTTGTTGTAAACTCAGCCACTTCCTCCATGGGACTGAACTGACCCAGCCCCTGGGTGGTACAAAGGTAGGGCGCCTACCTGCTTGGC